GAACGCATAAATAAGTAAATAAATAAATAAATAAATAAATAAATAAGAGTAAACTACGGCAGGAGAATGCAGTATGAGTGAGACTAGCACCTACCGTCATACGACACAGTATCTTCAACAATAGTGTACAACATACTGATACCAGACTTGACTTCTTTTTTCTTCGATTTTTTATTACTAGCTGGTCATCGCTATGACCCTCGATTTTCCGAAATACCAGCGTGGAAAATGGAAAACCAAGTTTTTATTTGAGTTGGCGTAAAACGATTTAGTGTGATAACTATGGTATTATTGAGGCTGGATAACTATGGTTTTAATAAAGCTATATGGATAAACACATAAGTTTCTAGGGATATGAAGCATAATTTCAGGGCGATAGAGCAAGCCATAGTGAAGCAGTGCCATCACCTGATCAAGGAAGTGTGGTGAATGATGACCTACTAGTCAACGATAGACCGCTGCTCAGGAAGAACGATAGAATGAAAAGAGATCGATGGACGGACCAATCGATCGATGATGAATATTGGCCATTTTTCTGAAAAATTTTTTAATCATGAATTCCTCATTTCGTACATTTTGTAAAAATAAATGGTTAGCATAAACTTGAGACAATGAACAAACTTATGATAGTAGGGTAGCCCTCTTACATCACTAACATCAATCACTGAACACAAACATCCTCTGCGTTGCTCGAGCATCTCGGCGGACCGTACAAACGGGGACAATACAACATTGTTGATAGGGTATAGAATAAATGCTTATCAGGCCATCAAGCTTTCCATGTAGCCTTGTGTGAACCTCCAGGTAAATCATAGGGTTTGAACTTCCTCTCACAGAAAAATAGAATGAGAAGGTACTTTCTAATGTAAATATTTCGAACAGTAGATATATCATTAGAGCACGCACGCACGCACATGTACCTACATACACATATACACACATAAACAAACACATACACACATACACACAGACACACAATACACACATACACAGATATACACACATACACAATACACGCATACACACATACACACACAGACACACACAGACAAACACACACGCGGATACACACAGACACACACACATCTCATAAGATCAGTAACGAAGATAAGACGAAACCTTGTGTGAAATTTAAGAAAGACAATTCTAACCGTAGCAATTGAATGGTGCGGCTATATAGATTGTGGTAAGTGAAAAGTTGACTAAATACTTCTATAATACATTTTGCATTAATATTATTAAAACTCAAGGAGTGACTTGAAAAACAATTTTAGGAAAATGC